CCGAATATAAGCGGGGATCAGCAGCAGCTCCAGCATTACCGTAATCTGCGGGACCAGTGAAATAACACCGTTTTCAGGATCACCACTACTACCAAGTTGACTGGTAACTCTAGGGCGCACCTAGACCTGTACCCTAGGGTTCCGTAGCAGTCGGCAGTAGGCGAACAACGCGGTTCTACAGAGAAAAAGCGTGCAACAACTTTCCAAAAAGCGTGCGCGCAAACAAGGAGCAGTAGGAAGCAGCCGCTCTCAACGTAGTCTGGGGTATACCTGCGGTATAGTGAAACGCAGAAAGTTGACGCAGTCCTGAGGGCTAAAGAAAGCCGTGACGTCCCTACGTGCGAGACTCGTGGGCGTGTCATCGAGTTGCAGACGGGCCATCGCGTAGACGAATGCCAGATTATACGCGAACCACCACTGGGAGTACACCTCGAAGAGAGACCGGCACTGCAGCATCACCAAAGCACGCGTTTTGCGCGCAATTCTATAAAAATACGTAGGCGGGACATGACAGACTCACCCGCCCCCTTTCAAAGTGAGAGTGCTGTGAACGGCCGGGTGTCACGCAGTCTCCGTCGAGCCACAGCGTGGGAGTGTCGTTCGCTCGGCCGACGCTGCCCCTGCTGCCCTCTCAATTTATACAGGACGGTCTCCCCACAGCCAATCACACAAGCTCCCCTTCAATCTGAAAATTTAGCCTGGCAGGAAGCTTCCCGGAAATTTGCTACGCCTTAAATCTGCTTCCTTATTACAGGTTTTTCGGAGCTCCAGTCCGAAACTGTGAAATGAGTTTTGACCGCAAGAAAAAAATAATCGTACAAGTACAATGCATGGATACATGTTGTAACACACGCTATGTGCATCACGTGTACATCGTAGATCAACAGGCACGGCGTACGTAGGTAGATCCTCAGCACTGAATCAACCAACTGCCGGACCCTTTGGTCATGTCATATGAGCGTCGGCACCGTCGATGGTTGTTCTGTCTAATCCTAGATCGGAGCTCTTAAATGTGGGAAGAACTGCCGAGAAAAAGAGATCAAACGCATGAAGGGCAAATTTACAACAGCAGTAATGCAAAACTGAGTATGTTTCAGCCGCCCCCGACACACGGCGCAGTTGCACCCTCGCACGCAATCGCTGTCTAGGGTACGGAAGGGACGGATTTGTGGCATCGAAGCAGCAGCGGGGGCTGAGGAACCCGCTGCTGCTTCTGTCCCTATTAGCAGGCAAGCGGTGAATGAAGAGGCCAGGAGATGTCCAGAGAAGTCGTGCCTGTTTGTCTCACTCACGCTTTTGTACCGCACAGCAAGTCGACATGCTGACATTCTGTCACATGGGCACTTCGCGTGCTGTGCTGTTTCTTTCCGTGGTGGTAGCGATGCAAGCAACACGTAGAGAGAGAAATTCGTAACGTTCTTGCCCTTAGAAAGTAGACCCTGTTTGCGATCCACGCGTAGAGGGAGTGTCTACTGGTATCTAGTCGACATGTACACTACTACAGCAGAGCGATGGCCAAAGACGGGTGCACCCGGTGCGTGGCCACAGTCGGGTACCCATACAACACCCAGCTCGCAGCTCGTGACCGCATGACGCCATCCAATTGGTCGACGCCCGCCGCCACCCGACCCTGACCGTCTTTCGACCGGGTGCCAAAGCCAAGTGGGGTACCCCGTTTTCATTTCCCTACCCGAAAAAGGCCGGGCTGTTCGACCAACAGCCACGTCAGCGCACTCGATAGTAGCAAGAAAGACACACACGTCATCAACGCTCGTCCCTTGACTTCCGACGATTCAGACAGCGGAAGCGGACCCAACGCCAGCGGAACAAACTCTCGTTTGGATTATAATGTCTCGTTTCTATTGTTCGTGTCCTCCCACAACCAAAAAGGCAGACCGGCAGCGAGCGGTGAAACCGACTTGGCGGAAAGCGCGTGGTATGACATGTCCGCACCGGGTGTATCCGTTTTTAGCCACCGTTACTTATTCTTCTTTGTGTCTTCTTTTTACTGTCGAGTTCTTACATTCAGCGTTCTGAAGTGGGACCAGGTTCCGTGCACCAGCTTCACGAGCAAGACTGCATATTGACCATTCCTTCTTGATGTCTTCCCGCCAATAACAGACAATTGTCCGTATAGGGCAGCTGGGCTTGGCCACACTAGGAGCGCCGGCGACAGCGACTTGGTGGCACGCACCGCAGGAGATGGCAGAGATGGCAGGCGTGGAGTCGGCTGACCGCGCCAATGAGCGCGTGAAAATAGGCGTCATGACCGAGGGTGACCTGCACAACGTGCTTGAATGGGCGCACCAAGAAAATTGGAATCCGGGAGACAGAGATGCTAATCCGTATCTGAAAGCGGACAGTGACGGGTTTCTCATTGCAAAGACAGAGAGTGGCAGGCCAGTGGCTTCGATATCGGCTGTTCGATTCGGGGAGAACTACGGCTTCATCGGGTTCTATATAACAGCCCCAGAATTCCGCGGCAGAGGTCACGGCTCGGCCATCTTTCGGGCAGCAATGGGCCGCTTGGGAGGGCGGACGATAGGGCTCGACGCAGTCTCAGCACAACAAACGAACTACGCGAAGCACGGCTTCGTCTTAGCCCACCAGACCGTACGGTTCCGGGGTCCTATGATCGTGGATACTCCAACGACTTCACCACCACCAACAGCGCCGAAACAGGATGATGGCGTTTATGATGGGTTTGTTGTTCAAGCTTTGACGCAGAAAGACCACGTGAACTTGGTAGTCGACTACGACAACGAACACGTCCCGGCTCCGCGACCAGAGTTTGCTCGCGCATGGCTCACCAACTCGGGTCATATTGCTCGTGTGGCTCTCTCCACTGACAATGGCGGAGAGATCAAAGGATACGGCGTGCTGCGGCCCTGCAGTGAGGGCGTGAGAATCGGCCCTTTGTTTGCAGGTTCTGCAGATATCGCGCATTTGCTGATACGAGAGCTGGTAGCGGCAAGTATTTCAGCTGATCCATCCAGCGCCAAAGCTACTGTGTTTATTGACGTGCCTGAGCCAAACATTGAAGGTATTCGGTTGGCCCGAGGGCTAGGTCTTGGCCGGGTCTGCGAGACTGGGCGAATGTACAGAGGACCAGCGCCGAAGCTTCCGCTGGAACGAGTTTTCGGCGTCACTAGCTTGGAGTTGGGATGACCAACGAAAAAGGCTGCACCTCAGTTCAGGTTCCTGATACAGCAGTAATATGCAATTTGTACTTTCTTCGAGCCCAGGCTGTCCATGAAAAGCGCCGAAGAGCATCTTAGATTGGTCCATTGTAGATATGGGCGTGGTGGGCAAGATGGGATCAACATGTCTTCCCGACAACAGGACTTTCTTTTTTTTGTTTTTGAGGTGTGCAGCGCAAGGGCGGTGAAAGTCGACGCACTTACTGCTAAACCGTTGGTCGTGGCGGAGGTACTCACGACCCGATCTCTTTCGAAATCGAGCTCTCTATCAACGTCATTGGAATCGGCAGTCACTGTCAGCGAACGAATGTTTGTAGGTGGTGGCGCGTGTTTGGCAACGTCGGTGCTAACAAGTTCATGCTACTCAAGAGGCTCGCAAGCTTCGCGCTCGGTATACGACGCCACACACAATAAAGTCAACTTCAGATAGAACTGGGTACTTCATCGGTTGAACCGATCTTTAATCAGTAAAATGCGCATTCACGCTTCCTATGCAGATCTACATGATTCTGAACATTGAAAAATTCGGTCCCCATCCATGTACCACACAACAGACGAAATGAACGAATGCTCCATATTGCAGCAGTCCTGGACTGTACCACTAGAGCACTACTTCTACCTCCGAAAACGCCATATTGCCTGCTTAACAGGAGGTGACCTTGGAACATTTGCTATTTCGACCCACCAAAACCCAAACGACGACTGTCGAACCACAAAGAGCACTAATGTGTGTAAGGAGGTGCTTCTCTGCTTTCAGCCGTGATGGGTTGAGGTTAATGCGCGAGCAAGGCGGAAGCAGCGGTCGGTCGTGTAGGGCGCAGCTTGTTCCCCATGCTTGCCCATCACAGCTAAAAACACGAAATCACACTTCACACAATGCGTTCGCGCTCAAATCTTAGCACCCGTTCCAAGCAAGACCGCTCGGACCGTAGTACGGGTAACAACGATGTTGTGATATAAAAAACCAAGGTGTGCGGCAGGACCGCGAGTTCCACACGCTCTTGGAGTACTTCATACGAAAACCTGTCCAGCGTACACCATGCGACTGGTCACATACTCCGCGACAATCAGCGCACAGGCTACAAATCTCACCAGAGCCCGTTCCCCCGCGGCTCAAAAACGTCTCCTGTACAATGGTGCGTCACCAAATTAGCCCTCGATGTCTGCAGTACGGCGTTCACGGACTATGCACCAAGCACATCTTTCGTGGAACGAAGATGCTCTAACCTGTCTTTCAGTCGCTGCTTGCAAGCTGCAAGCTCTGCACAATTCAGCTGTGACGACGGTAGAGCCGCTACCCGAGTAGACGAGGCTTTCGCTTTCTCGCCCAGACCGGCGAACAGATCCTTGACCTTGTCCGACGTAATCGTCTCATCGTCAAGGGCCGCCATAGCGGCTTCAATGTCTAGCCGCTCGATCACCTGCTGCATGCAAGTCGATCATCACGAGGGTGTTTGCGCGCATGGGCCAAAACTCGCGTTGGGATCAACAGCAGTGAGTGGTCTTTCGTTGATGCAGCTCATCTGCATACTACAGTAGTAGCTGTTCGTGCGGCTTTCCCGCGCAAGCGGCGAGGAATCAGACAAAGCCGACGAGCAAGGCTTGCCTGTACTAGGTATGGGGGTAATGAGCCGCGTGGTGCGACTCTTGCAGTAGTCTAATCTACGATGTTGATGGTGCACGAATCCCGACACACACCAGCGTGAATCGTTTCTGGTGCAGCTACGCGTGCACCACAGACGGACAGCAGGCGTGCGACGGGAGCGACGATGATTGTATGCTTTGTGCGACCACACCGTTCAAAATCTTGCACTATACATGCGGTTGTCTCTTTCCGTTTTGATGCACATGCACGAAGAAACAAAATGTGAAGTCTTCCCGCTGTGCGGACGCAAACACGAACATCTGGAAGAAGCACGCATGCGGCGTCCCCCTGGCGACGAGCGTATTACACATCACACCGTCGAGGAGCACGACCAGCAGCGTAGACATAGGATTGTGACGCGACAGATGGCAAATATTGCGTCAAGCTCACAACTTGCTCGCTACATTCGTCTCAAGCCTTCCGAGTTTTCGGCCCAAGTGAAAGCAAGCAGTCTAGCAAAACAACAAAAGGCCGTTGATGGTCATGTGACGTCATGACTTTGATGCGAGAGGCCAAGAGGCCCTGCTGCAGCCCTGCAGCAGCAACAACAGCATGCCTACGGCACGGCTTTTTTTGCGAAGACAGTCGGTAGCGCGGCGAAAGTACGCAATCTGAACTAATCCCGCGGGGAACCATCCTGATAACGAAGTGCAGCAGCAGTCGTAGACCCTCATGCCCTCGACGGATTCTGTCGATGATGGTAGGTGTGATCTGGACTTCGGAAGGTGTGTTATTTGTGTCATCATCGGTCTTCTCTTTTTGAAGTAGTTGGTTGGACCCACTCAACATCAATAAAAACCCGCCAGGTTACATTTGCCCTGTTTGCTCCGTTACTCCCATGCCCTGGTGCGTGGTGCCTGGTGCTGGTACGTTACCCTTTGATTTTTCTTTCGGCGGGTGTGGGAAGCGTCCTCCTTTATTTTTGTGTAATTTTTGTTTTGTTTTATATTGATCGGTGTCCGAGGGCTCTTTTCTCGAACGGTCGGTGCGATACCTGTTCGTTTCTTTCTATCGTTTTGTTTTCTTTTTCCGAGTGGTTTGTACCCTATTTTTGTTTTTTTTTGTTTTCTCGCGGCGTCGTATGTGCCGGGTTTTGAGACCACGGGCTCCCCATTTTTTGTGAACTATAGAGCTAATGTGATAAACAACAACAACATAGCGCATGCTTATACAGTATACCGACGGTGCACAGGTCGTATAGGCCCGGCCCATCCTGGTTTTCATAGCTGGTCTCAGACCAGCGTCTCAACGGTGATTCATCTGTTGGTGTTCTTGCGTCTCTGTCGGTGTTTCTTGTCCTGGTTTGAATCGTGCGCGCGCGCTATCTCCGCTTGTGTGCACGCCTTTTCGCGTAGAAACCCTGGGGTTGGGGAGCGAAATCTCCTACAAATGTAGGCTGGATATGCCGGTGAAGCACGGCCATCTGCTCTCGGAGCATGACCAAACCGGTGAGGAGAAGAGTGCGCTATTTTTCTGCTTCCTCAGAAGCAAATAGATCGTCGATTCGTTCCCTATGGATCTCGTTTTGGTCCCAAAGGTGTGCTAAATAGGCTTCCAGGTAATCAAGTTTTGGGGCCCCTGTATCGCGCGGCGCAACTTTGGCCGATATCTAGAGCCTTTTTTTCCCTCCGAAGGGAATAAATGACGCTCGCTTCGCTCGCTCCGCGGCTCATTACGAATATTAATTACTGAAGAACACCGGTGTCTTTTTTTTCTTACGAACAAACCAAGAAATCTCTGGTCTCTCAGTGTGAAGACTGAAATGAACTTAACGAATTCCAATTTCCACCTATTTAGCTGGTGTCCCTCAATCCTCCCTGTATCAAGGCTTCAACATACCCATCCATTTGAGAATTCTCAGAAGTGCGTAGTCTTTCTTCGATCTTGAGGATGCGGCGTTTCAAAAAAAGGACCCCATGTCCCCAACGTCTGTCTATCGAGGACGATTACCTCTTTTCACATTGGCGACAAAGATGTCTGATTTTAGTGGAATGGCACCCGCGTTCAAATCCCGCCACGCACCATATTTCAAACATGGGGGGGGACGGTACGGCGCGGGGCGAAAAAACAGATGTTCCAACTTGCGGAACTTCATGGCGTGACGGACGCAGCGAACCCGTCAACCACGCGCAGAAATACGTGAACAAGAATAGTAGACTCGCCGCCGCCAGCCGGTCAGGTTCTGGTTACGCCTATTTAGCGGCCTTCTAAGGACAAGGTCAAGGTGGCTTTTCAAAGGGGGACCAAAACGGAAGGCGTTGCAACCAGCACAGGCAAGAACCGCAAGGATGACACCGCACAGAAGAAGTGAACCGACTCGCCGCCAACCGGTCGGGTTTCGGATACCCGTAGACCTTCCTACTTGCCTCGCAAACAAGAGGAAGGCCTGAAAAAAGAGGGAGATGATGTGGTGGTGATCTCAAACAGGGTCCCATCTCAGTTTGCCGAGGACGATTCTCTCTTTTCGCAATGATGTGCGTATTTTCTAAGAACATTCTCTACTGGTCTGTTTGGCAAGAGCCCAGGATAGATGATCAAACCTCGCCAAAAATCACATGAAGCACGCTTGGAACACCTACCGGAGTTGGAATATGTAGAGTGTGCGGGATATTGGGACCTTGGCCAATATGTTACCATTGTCTTCCACGGTACAGCACGAGGCCGCAAAATAGCTGCGCACGCTAAGTAACCAGAGCGAGGCGCGATGTGCGAGCTAATCGATTATGTTTCTAGTGGGCGAATGTACTGCAATTAACAAACTGCTACGTGATGCACGCTGCACTCCACAATTACCCTTACGTGCTAATGCACGATAGCAGTTCGATAACTTTGTGTGCCGCACGATCGCTGGCGTGCTCCGCTAAAGAGAAAAACACCTGCGCCGCAAAGGCCAGCAGAGAGACCAAGAGGCAGCGCACCACACAAGCACGCATATGAGCAATTTGCGCAGGGGTATACGCAGTACTATCATTTGCACAACAGTAATGTCTCTGATGTGAGGCAGATATGTCCTTTCGTTCCAAATCCAATCTACTGCCTACTGCTGTAAGATCCAAGCGGGAAATACCACGGGAGGGTACATACAGCACCCTCAACATATGATCAACCCGGGGTCCCACTTGCGCGATGGAGAGCAGAGAGAACGCACACCGGAGTACTGCCTGGTGCCTGATGTGGCCATGACTGCGATGTGTGTGGTCCAGAATAGTGGGAGTGAAAGGAGGTCGCGTGCTGTATGCAATTTCCGCCCAAGCGAAAGGGTTTTCGGGACTACATGCACGATGGCATGCACGATAACCCTTTCGGCGATAAACACAGCAGCAGCAGCGGGTGTGTGCTGTGTGCCGCGGTCGCTTCGTAGGCTGTGGTTGTACAGCAGCCTACACAGAGGTTACACTTCCAGTGCTGGTGCAACTTGATGTTAGCCTCGGAACGAAGAAGCAAAGCAGGATGCTTGATTACTGACTGGCTCCCGGGTCAGGTTTCGATGGTGCTTAAGTGAAGTGAGCGCAAGGGCGACTACGCGCTTGTGTCTCATCTCGAACACAGAAAACAAAATCACACAAACCGTCAACGCAGGGTTCTCCTGAGACATACTCGCTGCACTGGTCTTTAGGGGTCTGTTTGGACAAACCCAAAAGTTTCACCGCAAATATTCCGACATTTCTCTGATGGACTTATGCATAGAAAGTATGACAGTCTCTCTGACGTACTCAGAGTCCCTGCTCGACTTGTACATGCAAGCTTCTACTACTGCTGTGTATCTGGGACAAGTGTCCTCAACTCTCAACTCTCAACTCTCAACTCATCATCCCTAGGCTACACGTGTACAACACACAACAGTGTATTTGCACAACATACGCATCACACAGACAGAGACGTCTCGTTGTGTTGCTGCAATCGACTACAGAGGGGAATGTGTGACTCATGACATGATGCTACTGGTAGTACGAAGGTATCAAGCAATGATGCATATCCCCGACACGACCCCTCGATCAAGTATCTCGGCAAACGGTGCAGCTCCAAGACCTACTATCAAGGGTCAACAAACGGTTGACCATATTGATAGTAGTACTTTGACAAACAAACACGAAAGGGCTGGGCGCCGATGTCGTCACAAACGTATCTTCTTCCGGTCAGCGCGCTGGCGAATCTCATATCATGCATATATAGTTGCCTATACTGCCCACACACACACTTTCACGGGAAAGGTAAAACTCGCATGGTACGTGTCAATCATACATACCATGCGAGAACGGTAAAACTCGCTATGCAAGCCGTCTACTCGGCAAACAGCTACATTGTATTTCCGCTTGCTATATGAACCTACTTTCATTGCTCGGGTGGTGATGCACACTCAGCGAGCAAACCTATCAGCGACTCATCATCACCGGCCAAACGCAACAACAGACGGAACCTGAAATTGTTCAATCAAGAAGATCCATCGCCGAATTCACACCCGTAGCTGGACATGCATGTGCTTGGTGATTCCCGCTTCGTTCTTGAGCTTGGTGCGCCTGGCGATGATGGTCTCCCCGATGTGGGTGGCCAAACGCGCAAAGAAAATTCCCCGGTTCCTCCATATTTCAGATGCAGGTGCGAACCCCATTGATGCCACACCGGTGATGACAGTCCAGTCGTTCGCGGGCTGTTGTCTCCGATCCCTAGCATCCGAAATTTTCGATCTGTTGGAGGATGGAATTGAACTTGTGCATGTATGGCCATCCACATCAGGGAGACCATCATCGCCAGGCGCACCAAGCTCAAGAACGAAGC